AATCTCCAACCACCAAACAAATATTCAAATAATTAAATATTCTGGTACAGTCCAGAATGAGTTTTGATCCAGAGAGAAACCAGAAGTTCAGACAGCATCTGAATCATGGCAATATGTTTATACACCTTGTGAAAAGTAAAGTATTTAAATAATGCTTTATAAACATTTATAAAAGAAGCCTTATAGTACTGAAAAAAAATAGATACCAATTGGTGATGGTTGTCTATTTAAAAAAAAATGCATAAGTCTATTTATGTAAAAAACAATGTAGCATATTTAACCCCCTATTCAAATTATAGTTAGTGCTGTATGTAAAAAATTACAGTAAACACATGGAAGTGTTTTCACATAATGCATACTGTACCATGAGTTATCTAAATGCGTTTAATCCCAAGGAACATTGAACACGTGTAATTTAGAATTAGGATTTAGCACTGAATTTACCCAGGGAAATAAAAGCCTTCTCTGGAGAATAAGAAATATGACCTTTTGGTTGCTAGATGCTAGGCAACTGACAACCAGTTTCATGCCTCATATTAATATGCTTTGGACTATCACAGAAACACTGTGTAGTGTGTATATAATAGTCAATATATACTGTAATATGGGTAATTAGAACATTTAGTATCACATGATTATGCTGGGGTCAGCAAGGTGGCTCAGTGGTTAGCACGTTCAAGTCCCGGCTGGACCAGTTGGCATTTCTGTGTGGAGTTTGTATGTTCTCCCCGTGTTTGAGTGGGTTTCCTCTGGGTGCTCCGGTTTTCCACACAGTCATAAAAACTAAATTGACGATAGTATGAGTATGAATGTGAGAGTGTATGGGCGTTTTTCAGTACAGGGAAGCAGCTGGATAAGCATATGCTGCGTACAACATATGCAAGAATAGTTGGTGGTGGGGTTGGGCCATTTATTATGTTGAATCGCAATAAAATGATAAGCTCTGGACTTTTTTCTTCTATTATGATCTAAGAGCCAATCACACAACAGAAAATACAACAATAGAAATCTTAAAGTCTGTTGATATTAGAGATGTATCAAATTTTGTCTACCAAAAATTTATCATCCAAAAATATGTTATGCCATATAATGGACCCTCTAATTATTGTGGCTTCAGTTATTGTTGGGGTGCTCTTTTGAATCTGGAAGCATTAACAACTACTGTATATTGAAATATACATAGTTATTGTTCAATATGGAAAGTATTTATCAAGATTGCATTTTTGTCAAATCGCCCAGCCCTAGTTGGTGGTTCATTCCGCTGTGGCAACCCCTGATAAATAAGGGACTAAGCCGAAGGAACATGAATAAAGGGGGTGCCTAACATGCGGTTTGTGTGGGTCTTACCGCCCCAGTATAGTGACAGGGACTCTGTACTGCTCGGTGAGCTCCGTCTTTCGGATGAGATGTTAAATCGAGGTCCTGACTCTCTGTGGTCATTAAAAATCCCAGGATGTCCTTTGAAAAAGAGTAGGGGTTTAACCCTGGCATTTGCCCACTGGCCTTGGTCCATTATGGCCTACTAACCATCCCCATATAATAAATATCTACATTACTCTGTCTCCTCTCAATGTGTAGATTCCCCCCAATGAGTAAAGCACTTTGAGTGTCTAGAAAAGAGCTATATAAATTTAAGGAATTATTAATATTATTTTATGTGTTTTTGTAAAGCACAAACTAAAATCAGTAAAAGCATCAATACTCACCTTTAAACATAATTTGGCAATGTGCTTAACTAGAGGGCTGACTCTATTCTTCTCCCAGTTGAACAGATTGTTTTAAATGTACGTGTCAAATGAAAAACAGCAATACATTAGCAAAAATACACTTTTATTTTTGGACCATGCCATAGCAACCACTTAGAAAACCTCAGCAGTGGCAAACTCCGACACGTTTTTGCTTCGGCAAATGCAAGTGCTTTAGTTTATTCATTTATGAGTTTATTTTGATGAGCTGACAGGCTACAAAACCACTGAAATTCTCTTGGGCCAGTGCTCACAATTTAATCTGACGGCCTGTATTACTGTGATAAACTTGTTTTATTCAAGCGTAATTTGATGTTAAAATTGACCCCAAGGAACCGATTCCTCACGATGTGTGACACATTTCAATTTCCAATTACTTGCTCTGTGTTCATGGTTAGATGAACCATCTAATCAACGGTTCAGATATGCAGGTACTCCGTCTGTGACAGCACATGATTAGAATATAAGAGCGTGAATTACTGTAATTCAGTCTGACATGCTCTTAAAATCACTCTCTAATAATCCAACATAGCAGGAGCCGTGCCCTTCAGAAGTAATTAGGGCTTGTGAACAGAGAGGTCAGTGAATAAGGCTCTTTTTCTCCTCACTATCCAATCTGTACGCTGCAAAAATGAGTCTTTGATTCGGATTTACTGAAAGATGACGCTCTTATTATTTTATTAAGCTTCTGACAGTGACCCAGCATTTCATAATGTATTTACGCGTTGAGCTGAAATCACCTTGTGTGTTACAGCAACCCTGAGACAACTCTGCCCCCTTGTGACACAACACAAACCCTCAAACGTGCTTGATGACTGTGGAACTGCTGCCATTGTGAAAGCTCTGATTGTACCTGACAGTTTTTAATATTAGTTCTTCTATACTTCTAATTCCCTGAAAAGATGTTGTTGTTGTTGTTCTGCCTCTTCAGATAATCTGCTTGCAAATATCTGAAAGATTTGCGATGGTTGTAGAGACCCTGGAGGTTTTACTGAGGAAAAAGGGAGTGTGGGGTTTTTTGAACTTATATTAATACGTCTGGGAGACACAATAACAAAACAGGCAAGTCATAAGAAACAGAATGGTTTATAGTTAAAATAATGAGGGGTATTAGCTCTTGTGTTTTGCTTTGTTTTTTTAGGTGACATTGATATTATTTAATTCAGTTTGAGTTTATTTGTATAGTGCTGAAGAGCAAGAGATATGCTGATGTGCATACTATTTTAAACAAGAGATATAAATTCCAGGGCGATGCAGTGGCGCAGTCGGTAGTGCTGTCACCTCACAGCAAGAAGGTCGCTGGTTCGAGCCTCAGCTCAGTTGGCGTTTCTGTGTGGAGTTTGCATGCTCTCCCTGAGTTTGCGTGGGTTTCCTCCGGGTGCTCCGGTTTCCCCCACTGTCCAAAAACATGCGGTACAGGTGAATTGGGTAGGCTAAATTGTCCGTAGTGTGTGTGTGTGTGTGTCTGTGTGTGTGTGTGTGTGTGAATGTGTGTGGGGATGTCATCCTGAGGCCCTAAGTCTATGCAGCACCACTTATTCGATCCAAGACCAGCGACGAGATGATGCCAAGGTTTCCATATCTTGGACCAGGCCGTATCCTGAGCAGCTACTGTGGTGGACATGAAGGAGTAGAGAGCATGAGATTGATTCCTGTGACGCTCCAGGGACAGACGAGCCCTTCCAGTCGCAACCCATCACTGGGAAACATCCACACACACATTCACACACACACTCATACACTACGGACTATTTATCCTACCCAACTCACCTGTACCACATGTCTTTGGACTGTAGCACCCGGAGGAAACCCATGCGAACGCAGGGAGAACATGCAAACTCCACACAGAAATGCCTACTGAGCCGAGGTTCGAACCAGCGACCTTCTTGCTGTGAGGCGACAGCATTACCTACTGAGTATCCCTTAGGTGGAGATAGAGAATAAAGGGAATAATTAGCATAGCTGCTGTTCATAGTGTATATAAACAAGATGCAGAATTCTGTGTGGGGCACATTCATGTATCATACCGCTAAGTGATGCACTGAGTGTATGCTTTACTAAAAAGATAGGTCTTTAATCTAGTTTTGAATTTGGAGAGTGTGTCTGAGCCTTGAACATTATCAGGAAGGCTATTCCAGAGTTTAGTAGCCATAAATGAGAAGGCTCAACCTCCTTTACTCGACTTTGCTATTCTAGGTACTACTAGAAGCCCTGAGTTTTGAGATCTTAAAGAGCGGGTTGGATTGTAGCGAGACAGAAGGTTGGTTAAATAAACAGCTAGATTAGCCATCACTACTGTATATAACCTGAGAAGCAGCCTTACACACATATTTTACTTAAGGCTGCTGTCTTTTGTTGCTGTTGTATTTGAATTTGAGGATGGGTAGATGGTAGTGGTTCATGGTAGTGTTCTTGTGTCAAAAAAGGCAGCCAATCTTTGAGAAAAAGTATAAGTTCCCCTTATTTACAAACCCCCTAATGGTTCTAATGTTGGAACACAGATTAAATATTTGTAATGTAACATGAAAGATTTAATTTCTCCATTTAAACTCTATTTACCCAAAACTCTGACACTTCAAAGCAGCCATAATGAGATATGAGATAAATAAATACACACGTAAGAGTCAAGGGTTTAAATCCAAGTCTCTTCTGAGGAGAAATGATCACTCAATATGATGCACAAATTTAGGCTTGCGTTTAAATATTAATCAGCAAACAAACAGAAGTTCAAATCTTTTTGATGCTTGTGGTGGGCAAGAATGAACATCCTTGGCTCTCACATTTCAAGAAAGCTTGAATGCTGTAAACATTGTTCACTAATAAACAAATATAATTTAATAGCATTACTTTTAAGCACAATACATTAACATTTTAAGCGATTTGAGGAAAATCGACTGTTAATGGACACAAATCTCTTGGTTTTAATTAAAATATAGTAATATCAATATTAAAAAGTGCCTTGTAAGTTTTGAATTACTTGAGGGTGAGAGAATTATCATTTTAGGTGTGAATAAAATTATCTCTTTAACTCTGTAACAGTGTATTATCCTACAATCCTAGGTCCAGAAATGCAATGCATGTCTTTTTTTAGAAGTCTGTGCGAGATGCAACAGTTAAAAATGACCAAAGGGAAAAGAAATGTCTTTTTTAGGCCTCTTAGGTGGAACATTGAGTCTTGTATTAGTCACATGGCTATCTGTGTTTTATTAGGCTTAGGGCATAAACAAGAAAAAATACATTTGTTCTTCTCAATAGGTGGTGAGGAGCCAGCAACTTTCAGAGGGAGCAATTTAAACGCAGTTCCGTGCCTTTCTAATGTAAGTTCATACTGCAGAGTTCTGACCACAACACATATTTCAAAGTGCTTATTATGAGAAACCTTAATTTGCAGCTATTAATGGTTCACATACACTCAAACCATTCTTTTTTATCAAGCTCATATTGTTAATTTTGTTAGCACTTAAAGACGTTATGATATTCTATTGATAATGATAACATTTGATAAATCTGACTTGCTGGATATTAATCTCACTGGTGTCTTCTTTAGAGATGATTTACATCTGAAATGATAATTGCTTCCACATCGATAAACTTACTGAACTGCAAGCAAAACCAGTGGTCTATGGCAGTGTTTCTCAACCACGTTCCTGGAAGACCACCAACACCACATGCTTTTGATGTCTCCTTTGTCTGTGAAACCCATTACAGGTCTTTTAGTCTGTGCTAATGAGCTGATGATCTGAATTAGGTGTGTTTGGTTACACATGGGAAAGGTGTAGAGCTCGTGGTCCCCCAGGAATGTGGTTGAGAAACACTGGTCTACAGAATTTGTTAAATGAAGATGCTTTAAAGTGACCTTAAAGGAAATAAATTCACTTGATTCAGTTCTTCTGTCCTCGCAACTATTCCTTACGTCTTTCCCTCGAATCCTGAAGTGGTGGAGCTAAGACGCAAGGAAAGAGTAATGGGGAAAGCGAAGTGAGGAAACAAAGATGCACAAATATGAATTGAGAAGCACCTATTGATTTAGGCTAGCAAAAAAGTGCTCCCACTGGACCCGGAGAACCACTGAATGGAATTAAAAATTATTTTTAAAAATTGTTTAACTCTAGAAAACTTGTCATATCTCAAATAATGTAAGTGTTTTTGTGGCTATAAGTTGTTGTTGTTGTTTTTTTCCCAAAGACTATATAGACTACCTCACAAAAGTTGAATCGCCTATCCAAGTGTATTATAATTGTAAGTGTAAGTGTAATTGTTTAGGAATAACAAATAATAATTTGAGTTGATCATTTGGTATCAGAAGTGGCTTAAATAAAAAGCAAAGACCTCTAGATTACGCTTATTTTACCTAATTTCAATAAAGTCATCTGGAATGGCAAAGAAAGTGTTCTTGCAGGACTCCGAAAGTTCATCAAGATTCTTTGGATTCATCTTCAATGCCTCCTCCTTCATCTTACCCCAAACATGCTCAATAATGTTCATGACTGGCGACTGGGCTGGCCAATCCTGGAGAACCTTGGCCTTCTTTGCTTTCAGTAACTTTGATATGGAGGCTGAAGTATGAGAAGGAGCGCTACCCTGCTGAAGAGCTTGTCCTCTCCTGTGGTTTGTAATGTAATGGGCAGCACAAATGACTTGATACCTCAGGCTGTTGATGTTGCCATCCACTCTGCAGATTTCTCGCAAGCCCCAATACTGAATGTAACCCCAAACCATGATTTTCCCTTCACCTTAACTGATTTCTGTGAGAATCTTGGGTCCATGAGGGTTCCAATAAGTCTTTTCAGTTTGTGATGATTGGGATGCAGTTCAACAGATGATTCATCTGAAAAATCAACCATCTGCCACTTTTCCAATTAAACAATTAGAAGTCAAGTTGTTACTTGTTGCTCTTACAACTAGGATCAACGACAAGACTTTTGTAGTATAAAGTGAAATGTTTATTTTGCAGCTTGTGAATTACTAAGTTTCCCAGAGATAGATGGGTTGCGGCTGGAAGGGCATCCACTGCTTAAAAATGAGCTGGATAAGTTGGCAGTTCATTCCGCTGTGGTTTGATAAAAGGACTAAGCCGAAAAGAAAATGAATGAATGAATTACCAAGTATAAACCAAAATAATAAACCAAGTTAATTCATTTGTAAACATTTGTATATTGTACTGTATATGCATTATTTTCAGCCTGTTGGTCATGTGTTTATTTTGCCCTCCAGCTCTGCCCTTGAACACTATCAAGAAATTGAAGGTGATGGACATTTTGTAGACTATCTTAAGCAGAGAAGAAAACTGGAACAGACACCATGCTTAACAGGTGTGATTTATCACAAAGTGACAGAAGGCAATGTTTGTCGACTAAGCTTTTTTTAAGAATGATCTACACCACTCCCATTCTTAGACATCATTCATTATTCTAAATGAAAGAATGTGAAAGGTCACACAGAGAGTTATACATCAATAGGAGACTTAAAAAAATAAAAATGAAGCCAAGTTGAAGTGGGCAGGGTTAACAATGTCATTTTCTGTCTGGATTAATTACATTAACGGTATCCATAGAAACATCCATCATTTGTGAGGATGAATCGATTGCAGAGAAATCAAAACATTCTTTATGGAGCCATGATGAGTCTAGTATGAATGGTCAATGTTGAATTCATTTTCATGTTTTTAAGTGTCTTCTCACAGGAAGAAAAAAAAAACAGCCATTAATGCCATCACATGCATTCAATGCTGAATTGCAGCATAGAAATAAGTGGAATGGATTGTTTAAAATGGTTCCCTTCATATGAGCATTTCAAGACTATTTTTAGAAGTTTGCCACTTGAGCAAACAACGATAATAATAATAATAAAGACTTGATTCAACAAAGCAAAGTCCTCTTTAAGTTCAATTCCATAATATTTATAATAATATTAGAAATAGAAATAAATGTGGATATTCTAAAAGTAAATGCATTTTAGTTATGCTTTGTGCCCAAAAGTGTCCACAAGGGAAAAATGAAAGAGCCATAGAACCCCCTGTCTCTGCAAATAGTCAGGAAAGAGGGTGAGTCCAGCTTTGTTTAGGTGGAAGTGTCGAGGGGCGAAAGAGGAAAGGATTTGCATGAAAATGGGAGTTTCTTTACATGCGCGCTGATTTTCAGAGCGGAAACACAAACGAAGGGGAAAAAGACAGTGACTACATTTACATGGACATCAATAATGGAATTATTTGTCTTAATCTGAATAAAAAATAATAAGACTAATGTGTTGACGTGAATTTCTTTTTGAATGTTCCTTTCATGATATCGTTTTACAAGTTATAGCACATAATTCAATGAATGTCATTGCGTTACCACACTAGCCATGTTTACTCTGGAGAGTTTCATGTAATTTTGGGTATTTAATTTTTAATTTGTCAATATTATCTGCAGTTTGGCACTTTCACTTTTATTCAGGAACCTTTCATTCATGCCCTTCATGCCAAACGAGATATTGGATGCGAGGAACTGCTGAAAGAGTGTTGTTTTAATGGAATTTGATACCGAATGCCGAATGGGAGAAAGAAAAACTTTCGCATTTCTCGGTAAATGCAGAGACTGGGTAGGTGCAGAGAATAGCCTCAAACAGCCGTCTGTGTTTAGACTATCCTGTCACAAAATGCGGCAAAAATCATATGCAGTGAAAATTTTACACACCAATAATAGTTTGATTAATGTATTTACATTCAGAGAGCAGCATTTACAGTGAATCTTTAAATCCATAAAATTGTAGTAATATTACTGTAAACTTAGTAACTAAATCATTTTGACTTTAAAAACTAAAAGAATACTGCTAATGATACTAACTAACTTTGCCATCTGAATAAACTTTAACAAAGAACACTGATCACACACTTACTAAAGCTGTAAAGACAGTTCAATTTTTTTTTTTTTTCAAAAGAAGACGGGTGGCAAATTCAGATTTCACCATTTCCATATTCGAAAAGTTCTTGGGTAAAACAATGTTCCCTACAAAACTATATTGTGTCGCGTGTTAGCAGACCACTGTAATCCACAAATGTGGGCCCACACACAAGCTTCGCTCTTATCATGAGGAAATGGAAACAAAACCTTCGTTGTAGTGCATTTATAAAAACAATTCTTTTTCATCAACTTGTTTTAATTATGGTTGTCAACACAACATGGCGTCTCTCATGCCGTCTGAACACTGTAACAGGTAATAACAGTCTTCGGAGATATATCATGCATATTAATGCAGTTGCACCTCATTCACAATAGAGCGTGCTGATTGGTTCAAGCCAAGTCTTTCTCATGAATTAATGCTAAAAACTCAAAGATGTCACATTGTACCAGCAGACATCCTATCTCCACTTTGGAATTTACTCAACAATCTCATGGCCCTGACGTAGCTTTTAAAATGATTTCCCAAGCGGAAGAACGAATTTGCTCGAAAAAGCAACCAATTTTCACTTTTTAGTAAAATATATGTGTCCTAATAGTGTTATTAGCAATGTGGGGCATATATATGACTGTCAACATCAACAACATCAAACAAAAATGAGTTTTGGTCTTTTGTGATCTTTAAAGGTCTGCAGTATAAGGTATGCTTGGGGGTTAAAGCGTACACTAATATTTGATTAAGTATAGTAAAGCTAGTCAAGCTACAGCACCATTCAAGTTTTGATAATGATTGGCTGCCTCCAAAATTGCATACTTCCATACTACTGTATATAGTATGCTAAAAACAGTATGCGAGACGAGTAGTTTGTTAAAATTCATAGAGTTCGAAAAACAGTATGCGAGAACTTACCTGGATGACCTATGTAATACTTCCTTTGAGATTTTGAAGTTCGCATCTGATGGACTCTACACTATCCCATAAAGCTTTGCGAGAGAATTCATGAATGGGAGTAGACGCAAAATGCGTGGGTAATGTGATCCTGACAAAATGGTGGATATAGTACATCCAATTTTCATTCATACTACTCACATTCATACTATATCAAACGGTTTAGTAAATTGTAATTTTAAATGTAGTACCTACTGAGTAGTAGGCGATTTCAGATGCAGCCCTATTCTTTTGTTGTATAATTATTCCAGTATGAACTTAATTTTGTAGCTCTTATTCCTTTTTACCATCACTGTCTATATCCCATTCATTTTCAAGTGTATGTGAGCATTGAATGGTTATGTGCTTGCGTGTTTTTCACACACACACTCACACAAAACCCAGCCATTAATGGCATCACATGCATCCAATGCTGAATTGCAGCGTAGAACGAATCGTCACGTTACGGTGGATCAAGCCTCCCTCGGAAGCGGTCAGAGTCGAGCAGGTTCCCTCTATCAGAACAGACCTTTTAAAGCCCTGCCTTAGGGTCCTGTCTCTGAGACGATTCGCCTGAGCAGAGGAGACACGTGGACCAGATCCAAGAGAATCAGCACAGAGTGTGTGGCGCTGCAGTCTGACACATTTTGTGAGCTGAATTCTAAAGCACCACCTTCAAAGGTTGACAGACTTCAGGGCATCTGCCGCAGAAGCTCTTCCTCTGGAACATCTCTATGGTGGGATATCTTAGACTGACACACTGTTGATTTATGCTTTCTTCAGCTCAACTGCTCAGAATGACAGGCTTTACGTTTGCAAGACTCATGAGCCACGTGACTCTCCACACTCAATAAGTCTTTGTTATGTGATTTGGGAGCTCACTTCAGTCGGGTTAGCCCACATTTCATTCGGTCAGATGAGGACATTGCTGGGGTATATTGCTACTGTATGGTGGACTCACTAAATACAATTTCATGCACTCACTTTATTGTTGATTTGTGTGTTACAAGTTTTAAACAAAAGGAGACAATGTCTGTGACAATGGTGATTAACTTGAATGCAACTTTTTTTTGTTGTTGTGCATTTAGAAAATGATTGACAGTCATTAAAAAAATATCTAATAACCTTCCCTGTCAAAATGTGTTTTCCAATTTTTCTGCAGGATTTATTACCTGCTAAGTCCAATCCAAGCTCATTCTGAAAACGTAATCCCGCGGACGTTTCTGGAGACAGCGGAATACGTCCCGGGGGGTACGTACGGCTGCGTTTATTTTTTTCAAGCGAACGCTGCGGGGCAGTGTGACGCTGTTCCCTTTCGCGCTTGCCTTACCTCCTTGTGGAGGGCTTCCCCGCTGCAACCTGTTTGTCCACTCAGCTCAGCGTGTACGTCGGCAGGCTCGAGATGCAGAGACGAGTTGACCACGGCGACCGGTTTCGAGTCCGGGGAAGAGCAGTTCCAGCAATCAGGTAAGACAAAAACAGAATCCCAAAAATTAAGTAAACGAGTTTCGTAACAAGGTGAGAACGCGGCAAAATCCGAAAACGTGGTAGAAAAAAAAAAAATCAGGGCTTTTATTTTTTGGATGGCTTTTGTAAACTGTTGCTCGGGTTTAGGGAAGCGAGCGGGCGGGCGGGCGGGTCGATCGGTAAAATTGGTTGGGTTCAGGGAAGGAGGAGGGCGAGTCGGCCGATTGACCGGTCGGGCAGTCAATCATCCGGTCAGTCGGACAGCGGCCTCCGGCGGGTTCACACTAGTACAGCTCGCGCTCGCGAGAGGCGTCTGAGGTCCGAAAAAGCACACAACAGCGGCCTCTTGCGGATTCGCGAAAACAAAAACTGCAGCCGTACGTACCCGCCGGGACGTATTCCGCGGTCTCCAGAAACGTCCGCGGGACTAAGTTTCCACAATGAGCCTGGGTTGGCTAAGTCTCACCTTAAAGCAACACAGGCTCATTGTGAATACATAGCCCCGTATACATATCTGGAGAGAGCAAAATACGTCCCAGGGGGTATGTTTTTTTGCAGTTAAGGTTTTCACAAATCCACCAGAGATCGATGTGTCCACTTTTTCCAAGGTACGTATAGTTGCATTTCATCTTTAAAATGAACGCTACGGAACAAAATGGAGCCAGTGACGGCTTTTATTTCTTTTCATGTTTTTCTGCTGTTACCAGATTGTCCAGTGGCTCACTGTGTATGCTGGTGGATTTAAGACGAGGAGTTGACAGTGATGACGAGATTCGAATAACGGTTTCAGAAAGCAGGTAAAACAAAAACAAATCCAAACAAACAGTAAATAACGGGGTGAGAACATGGTAGGATCTGAAAACGTGGTAAAAACCAGGCGACGGCAAGGGCTTTTCTTTTTCTGAATTGCTTTTGAAAACACTATCGGTTGGGTTTGGGGAAGGGGGTGTATGTGGGTGATGGGTAGGTCGGTCAGTCAGTCGGTCAACAGCGGCCTTTGTTGGATTTACAGATTCACACGGGAAGAGCAGACGCAAATGACACTCGTGAGAGAAATTGAGATCTAAAAAGACGTACACAGCGGCCTCTGGTGGATTTACAGATTCACACGGGAAGAGCAGATGCAAATGACATTCGTGAGAGAAATTGAGATCTAAAAAGTCGTACACAGCAGCCTCTGGTGGATTTGCGAAAACAAAAACTCCAAAAAAAAAAAAAAAAAACTGACGTCTTTTGCCCTTTCCAGAAATGTTTGCCAGGGTATGTATTTATAATGAGCCTGGGTTGACTTAAAGGCATAGCTTACCCAAAAATGAAAATTCTGTCATCATTTGTTCAAAAACTTAAAAATTGAAATCCTTCCTATTGCTGTACTCAAAAGAAGACATTTTGAAAAATGACTTTTATTGTATTTTGTTTCCTACTATGGACGTCGGTGGTTTCCAGATACTATCATCCAGCTACAAGTTCACTTCTAAATGGCTGAAAAAAAAAAAACTAATAAATACTTTGGGGTGGCCTAGTCAAAATCCTGACCTGAATCAAATTGAGATGCTGTGGCATGACTTTAAAAAGGCAGTCCATTGCTAGAAAAACCTCCATTGTGGCTGAATTACAACAATTCTGTTGTGGACCAAAATCTCTTCACAGCACATTAACAGGCTAAAATGAGTAATTGCACAATGCTTGATGGCAGTTTTATTTACTATTTATTTTTTATTTTTTTTTATTTTTTTGCCTAGGGTGGCTCAACCAGTTATTAGATTTAGTGGCAAACACACAGGGCTGTGCATTTTTGTATTTTCCCTTAATAAAAAAACCTTTGTATAAAAACTGCATGATGTGTTTACTTGTATTATCCTCACTGATATTTGCACTTGTTTTGATAATCTGAAACATTAAAGTATGCCAAA